ATGGTGGCAGATTCAAGAGAATGTCTCCTTCAGCACATCACCATCACATTGTCGGTCCTATCCTCCCTTGGAATTCTGGTGAATTTACAGAAATCCATGCTGCAACCTGCAACTCGCGTGCAGTTCATAGGAGCTGTCATAGACTCCCTAGCCACTCGGGCGTACCTTCCTCGCCAACGGGCAGATACCATTCGTCTGGAAATTCAACGTTTGTTCCAGTCCAACGTGACATCAGCGGTCCACATTCAGCGGACCTTGGGTCTCATGGCAGCCACCACTTCCGTGATCGAATATGCACGCCTTCGCATGCGCCCGTTGCAGCTGTGGTTTCTAAAGAAATTTCGCCCTTCCATCCATCCTCCGAGCCTTCAACTGGTAGTGCCTCCGCAGGTCCTCGTCTCCCTGCAGTGGTGGCTCGTGGACACCAATCTGTTGGCGGGTGCACCGTTCCAACCGATCGTTCCCGTAATGTCCATCACCACAGATGCCTCCCTGTGGGGTTGGGGTGCTCATACAGACGACACTTGTGTGGGTGCTCCATGGCAACCCCTTTGGAAGAGTCATCATATCAACTATCTGGAACTGCTGGCCGTAAAGTTTGCCCTAAGATCCCTACTCAGACAGGTTGTAGGGAAGGATGTGTTGATTTTTACGGACAACACAACTGCGATGGCTTATATCAATCGCCAGGGCGGGACCGTGTCCAGGTCCCTTTGCAGGCTAGCTATGGACATATGGGAAGAGTGCCTTCATTGGAACATCACTCTCCAAGCTGCCCATCTGCCAGGAACTTTGAACCAACAAGCGGATTTCCTGAGCAGAGGGGGAGCATCGGACCACGAATGGGAGTTGAACTCAAAGTATCTCCTTCCTCTTTTTCAACATCTGGGACATCCCCACATCGATGTTTTTGCAACTCGATTGAACAAGAAGTGTCCCAGGTTTTGCTCCAGAGCGGGGTTGGACCCTCTGTCAATGGGGGACGGTCTGTTGATGTCGTGGGCTCACGACTTTCTATACCTATTTCCTCCGATTCCGCTGCTCCACAGGGTGCTTGTGAAAATACAACAGGACAAGCCCCATTGTCTCCTGGTAGCCCCCTGGTGGCCTCGGCAGGTGTGGTTTCCGACACTGCTGCGGTTAGCCAAGGGATCCTTCGTACACTTCCCGCAGGAGTTGGATCTCCTCCAAGCTCAGGAAGGCCAGGTCCTTCACTACGATCCTCTGAGTCTCAAGTTGACTCTATGGGAAATACGCTTTCAGTGATGGATGACCGTATCAATGAGGTCCTGTTGAATTGTCGTAAACTGTCTACTAGGACGTCTTACGCAAAGAAGTGGGATTTATTCCTACAGTACTTGAGTTCTTCCAATTTACCTCCTCCGCCAGTGGATTTGAGGTCTATTTTTGCGTTTATTTTGTCCAGAATGGACTTGGGACTCAGTTTTTCTTCAGTTAAGGTGTATTTAGCTGCGGTGTCAGCTTTTCATCCATCTATTGATGGGTTTTCAGTTTTCTCGCATCCTCAGACGAAACAGTTTTGTAAAGGTCTTATTCGCCTGTACCCTCCCCGTCGTTCTCCGACTCCGGCCTGGGATTTGGCTTTAGTTTTGCGGTTTTTGATGGGAAAACCCTTCGAACCACTGGCCACTTGCTCTCTAAAGTTGTTATCGCTCAAGACTGCGTTTCTGGTGGCCATTACTTCTGCTCGTCGAGTCAGTGAGTTGTCTGCTTTAAGGTGTGATCCACCATACTTGATTTTTTCCCCTCATGGGGTGTCGTTGTCTTTGGACATCTCCTTCTTACCGAAAGTCGTTTCGGAGTTTCATCTACGTTCAGATATAGTTTTGCCGTCATTTTTCCCGTCTCCTGCCAATGAAGAGGAACGGAAATTGCACTCTCTGGATGTTAAGAGGGCGTTGCTGTTCTATTTGGGCAGGACCAAGTCTTTTCGTCAGTCTCCAGCCTTGTTTGTTGCTCACAGTATGCCCTCCCTAGGGAAGAAGATCTCTTCCCAGACGCTGTCCAGGTGGATTGTGGAAGTAATCAAGCTATGTTACGCTTTGGCTAAGAGACCTCTTCCAGGTCAACTTCGCGCCCACTCTACAAGGGCGGTGGCGGCTTCCACAGCTTTCCTGAGAGGGATGCCATTGGAGGACATCTGCAACGCTGCGACTTGGGCTACTCCGCTCACCTTCGTGAAGCATTATGCCCTTGATGTCCGGTCTACTCGTCGTGTGGCGTTGGGTCGGTCTATCTTGCAGACGGCGCAGGTGTAGGGCCTCGGCCCCTCCTCCAGGTAAGAGTTATTGCTTGCTATTCTCCCAAGGGTGTGATGCACAGAGACCACGAAGAAGATAGACAGGTTGCTTACCTGTAACTGGTGATCTTCGAGTGGTCATCTGTGCATTCACACCACCCGCCCTCCTTCCCCTCTGCTCTCGGCCCTTCATCTTGTTTCTTTGAAGGCTGTTGGGCGGCGGTCAGAAGGAACTGGCGGGATCTGCGTGCCCCTCCTTGGTCATGCGCAGTGGAGCCGGCGCGTGACCTGGGAGAGGCGCGAAAATCCCTTTTGCTAGCTATCGGTACCGAGAAGGTCAGCGCAGGCGCAGAGTATCCCAAGGGTGTGAATGCACAGATGACCACTCGAAGATCACCAGTTACAGGTAAGCAACCTGTCTTTGTCTTGTCATGCATATCTTAATTGATTGTTGCTGTTTTCACTACATTATTATTCCCACATCTTGACTGTTTTCTATAGGTAAGATTTGCTAATTGTCCAGGCCCTGTGAATTTCTATATATAAAGTATAAGAACTGGTGCAAGGGCTGCTGGACTGATTAACAGACTATTGGATAGCATTGATATGGCCAAGATGAAAGTTATGCGACACACAGAGGCCCTGTGACTTCAACATAAGCACAGAAGATCAGCACGAGAACTAGTGTGGCGTAGTGGTCAGAGTTTTGGATTAGGACTGGGAAGACCTGGGTTCAGATGCCATATAGCTCACACATTCTCAGTCTAACCTACCTGACAGGGTTTTTGTGAGAATAAAACAGAGGAGTATTTCCTGGCACCCACTTTCTTCTTCTCCAAAGCAAAGACTCAGTCCTATATTTCTGTTTTTCATAAATCAAAGAGGTGCTTCAGAACAGCCTAGAGGGCAGAAACAAGTGCTTGCATCATAGGAGGATGTCTGGTGTGGAACTTTCTAACATTCTGTGAAATGTCACAACACTTTATGACTGGCCCAACTCCCCATGGCAGCCATTATGTTGCAATTCACACCACCTGTTCTCAAAATTCAGCAAGGACTCACACATTCAAAAAGGACCACTGGAATACTTTGATAGGTAGCAGCTTTCCAAGCATATGTCCTTAACAGAAATGGCAGGGATTGAGTCCAACGCACACATTATGTACTGTATCACTGCCTACTGAAGGTGTGTTGTTCAGTAGAATCCTGCTCCTTGCATAGAGGAAGAAGATCGATCCAAAGACTCACCTCTTGCATGCAGTGGACATCGCTGAATGCTGCTGTAGAAATGTAAACCAACCAGTATGGGTGGCAAATGGTCACATTAGTGTAGATGGGATAATCATGCAGTCTCAGTGCAGATGCCTTTCTGTTTGCCTTATAATGTAGAATGGAATGTGTATTTTGATCTTTTATCTGGGTCTAGTGCATGCAGTTAATTACCTCTGCATTACCAGTTTCAGACTGTGCCTTGTTATAAGAACATAAGAGAAGCCATGTTGGATCAGGCAGTGGCCCATCCAGTCCAACACTCTGTGTCACACAGTGGCCAAAACCCAGGTGTCATCAGGAGGTCCACCAGTGGGGCCAGAACTCCAGAAGCCCTCCCACTGTTGCCCCCCAAGCACCAAGAACACAGAGCATCGTTGCCCCAGACATTGTGTTCCATCTGTACATTGTGACTAAATAGCCACTGATGGACCTCTTCTCCATATGTTTATCCAGTTCCCTCTTGAAGCTGTCTAGGCTTGTAGCTGCCACCACTTCCATGTGTTAATTGCTCCTTGGTGAAGAAGTACTTCATTTTATCTGTTCTAAGCTTTCTGCTCATTAATTTCATTGAGTGCCCGCGAGTTCTTGTATTGTGAGAAAGGGAGAAAGGTACTTCTTTTTTCTGTCTTCTCTATCCCATGCATTATTTTGTAAACCTCTGTCATGTCACTACTCAATTGTCATTTCTCCAAGCTAAAAAGCCCTAACCTCTTTAACCTTTCTTTATAGGGAAGCTGTTCCACCTCCTTTTCTTCACCTCTTCCAATGCTATAATATCTTTTTGGGGGAAAGGTGCAGAAAATGGCAACTAAAATGATTTATGCTTGATTCTTTCTGCACTTGATGTCAAATAGCCATGATATTAGGTCAAAAGTCAAGGTGTAAACTTCTTAATTACAATAAAATTACAATTACACATGGAACTAGCTCTAGGTGTGTTTCTACTGCTAGAGCATTTGACCTGGGTTCAATCCATACACATGTGCATGTTGATGTTTTAAGATTTCTATCCTCCCCCTTCCTCAAGAAGCTCAGAGCAACAGATCTTTACCTCCCACCTCTTTTATCCTCCCAACAACCCCATGAGGTAGATTAGGCAGAGAGGAAGTGACTGGCCCAATGTCATGGTATACTTCCAACCACAACATGGATTTGAACCCAGATCTCCTCTACTCTACTCTTGCACTGTAATTATTATATATTGCTGGGAAAACTTGCAGGACTTTACTGCTCTTTCCCCCAGGTTACCTGAAAGTGAATGCGGAGATTGTTCTGGTTCACTTAATAATTTCAGATCATTGTTTGACTTTATTATGATTTTTACAGACAAGATGTTACTGACCAATAATGAGAATTTAGTGGAGACCTCTTACCTTCAGAACTGTTGATTAATATTTGGCATGTCTAGTGTGCCTGTTGTGATTTGTAAAATTGGTGGATTTATAAAGTATTTATTGTTGTGTTTCAGATTGTCACAGTCTCTTCCTGCCTTTGTGCGTTCACAGCAGAGCCCAGTATATACACAGTTCATTACTACTTTGTTTGAAGCGTTACATTTCACACATGAAGACTTTGAAAGTTTAACAAGATTATTTGGAAGTGACTGCTTCCTTCACTGGTTAGTAGTTCTTTATTGTAACTTATTTTAGTTTGCTTCCTAATAAAATACATTCCAAATTACAGATTTTTTTTTTTTATAATGGTAGCAGAATATAGCACGAGAAGGAAAACAACTGGGGGTACTGAAAGATAAGTTTTATGTATTTATGATACTTTTAGCCCACTTTTCTCCCTTCCAGGATCTTTTTTTTTGGGGGGGGGGAGCCTGAAGGGGATTTTTTATTTGCATTTTCTATAACCTACAAAAACTACAACTAAAAGTTGGAAGGGGGAGGGAAAACTAAAACCCTAACACTATAGCTATGGGAAATGGGAAAAGGGTAAACTAATACATAAAATCTACTTGATGGGGAAAGGTGGCTACTATTCTAAACTATTCCGTCTATTGGATTTGGGGAAAGGAAAGCTAATACATGTCACGATCTAATCAGCTAAAAGTAAGGCTTATTAACCTAATATTACAAGTTTGATATACAGGTTGGTTCATTACAGTATTACTTTAAGAATATGCATTTAATAGCTTAACACAAATTCTGCCTTTAAGAACAGTTCTTGTTCTAGAGTCTTTTCTTCCTGCGTTTCTTCGTTTTCTTGAGTTTGGGGGCGGCTGCTCCTTTCTCCGATTCCAATGATTCTGGTGATGTGGAAGTAGTGCTTTTTGAATCCTGTGAGTAGCCAGTTAAGTGCGTGGACTCTAATCTGGGAGAACCGGGTTTGATTTCCCACTCCTCCACTTGCACCTGGCTGGATGACCTTGGGTAAGCCGTAGTTCTGATAAGAGCTGTTCTTGAAAAAGAGCAGTTTCTGTAAAGAGCTCTCTCAGCCCCACCTACCTCACAGGTTTTCTGTTGTGGGGAGGGGGAAGGGAAAGGAGTTTGTAAGCCGCTCTGAGACACCTTTGGGTAGTGAAGGGCGGGGGTATAAATCCAATCTCTTCTTCTTCTTCTTCCTCCTCCTCCTCCTCCTGCTGCTGCTGCTGCTGATGATCTGGTTTTGAGTTCTTTCCTTTCTTCTTATATTTTGAGTCGAACAATTGGTCCATAAATTTTTCCACTTTTGGAACAGAGTCAATTTTATATTTTTTATCCAGATAATTGAAGCTCAGTCCTTCTGGGAATAACCGTCTGTATGGTACTCCCTTTTTTTGCAGAGTGAGAGTAAGCATCCTGTATAGTTTCCTCCGTTTTCTGACTTCAAAGGGAATGTTTTTTACTATTTTTATCTCTTCATTCTTAATTTTTAAGGGTTTTCCTATTGTAGCTTTTAACACCAGTTCTCTGGTAGATCATTTCGTGAATTTTAAGTAGGTTTCCCCTGGAAGTTTATTTTTCTGGGTAAGTCCTGTAGGCTACTTCCATCTCTTTCAATATGTCTTCCTGTTTGTAATCCTCCGCCAAAAGTTCTTTTAAGTCCTCGTTCTTCTCTTCAGGGATCCCATGGAAACGTAGAACATACGTAGATCTTTCTAGCTGAAGCTGTATTAATTGCGTTTTATCGGATCTTTCTTTCTCTGCTTCATCTACTCTCTTGTTGATACTCTCAGTCTGTTTTTCCATTTTTTTTCAATGTTTTCTTGGTTACTGAGGTTCTTTTGTCCATTTGATTCAGTTGTTTTTGAACACTGTCCAGTTTGGCGTTGAGGTTAGTCATCTGTTCCATTAGGGGGCGCAGTGCATTTGCTAACAGTGAAGAAAGGTCTGTAGTTACTTCTTGGTTCTGAGAGGGAGTCGTTAGTACGTTATTTCCGGTCACCAGTTTTTTTCTCTGGCGCCCTCCATCCTCTCCCAGCCATAATATCAACAAGAAGTAAGTTTCCCAAAACAAGGCAAAAGTTATACGATTTAAATCCGCTTTGTATGTATTGGCAGTTTTTGCATTCGCTTAACTTCTTATGCGCTTATTTTAGCTCTAAGTCTTTTTATTTCCAATTTAAACCCACTTTTAAATCTTTTTCAAAAAGGGAGGGGGTGCTTGGTCCTTCTCCCTCCACGCTTCAAACTTAGGCGCTTCCAATTCCTACCAAGGTCTGTTCACTTTTTCACCTGAGCATTGCTTAACTCACAGTTTGGAGACCTGGAGATCTTTTGTTTTTGGGTTTTTTTAGGCCCCCCGGAGGGGATTTTTTATTGCATTTTTAATAGACTACAAACTACAACGAAAAATTGGGAAGGGATAACTACATCTAGGGAGAAAGGAAAGAAAACCACTACTAACTAAAACCCGAAGTATAGGAGATCATAACAATAGCTTATATAAATGTTAATCTTAAATTGCTAGTATTACTTTGAACATAGTCGGTTATGCTAAATTTTTTATCTTTTTATCCAATGATTTAACTGTTTAAGAGAACCCCCAGAGCATCCCATAATAAAACTAAAGTTTTAAGGCACAATTCAGAGTCCTTCAGCCTTCATTTTGTCTGATCTTTTCTAATCCTCAATTTATATGTACGCTTGGGGGCAGCCGCCCCCTTATTGGAAAGAGAGTCCTTGTCGGAAGACACCAAGTCCAATTCGCCACTGGATTTGCTGTCATCTTCTTCCTTCTCGACCTTGGCTGTCTCTCCCAGCTGCACTCTCAGGAATTCACGTGCTTTGGAGACAGAGTCAATCTTTTCTTTTTTATCGTGTAGTTTAAAAATGATGCCTTCTTGAATTAACCATCTGTAGATAATGTTGTTTGTTTGTAGAAAAAGGATTAAGTCTTTAGGAGTTGCTTTAGATTCTCACTTTTTAATTCTCGGACCCCTTGAAACCGTAAGACCAAATTTGCTTTCTCCATTTGCAGCTGCAAAAGTTGTGATTCTTCCGAAGCTTGTTTCTTTTCCAGCTTTTGCACCTTTTTCTTGACTTTTTTACTGTTGGTGTCCATTTCCTTCACCTTCTCATCCGGTTTCTCCGTTATTTTTAAAGTCTCAGTCAGTTGGAGCTGCTGAGTTGCAAGATTCTGGTTTACAGTTGTCAGCTGTTTGATGTTGGTCATCTGGTCCAGCAGAGGGCGCAAGGAATCTGCCAACATTTTGGAGAACTCAGTGACCTCTTCCGGTCAAGGGCTCATGGTCCCGGCTAGTTTCACTTTTGCTGGTTTGTCTTTCTCTGCCCTTTTCCCCGCCATCTTTATGGATTGTTTACTTTTATGAAAACTTGCTAAAGTCTCTGAAATACACCCATACGCTTATCCACGCTCTGGTAAGTCTCAAAACAGATTTCAACATTTTTTCTTCCGCTCCCCTTTTAGTATTTCGTTGTTTAGTTCATGTGCATGGGAGGGGCCCCTCCCCCGCTCGCTTTTTTTCGCCATTCCCAGGGGGTAGCTTTCTTTTAAAATTCTCATATTCGCTTTAACCCAACTCACTGTTCATTGTTGGTCATACAACCTTGCTCGGCACACGTTCAAAACTCTCGATCTCCGACACTTGTCCCGGCCAGCGGCTCTAGATCCATACGGACACTCAGCGGCAGGTCCGTCGAGGCGGAGGAGCAATTCCCCAGCATCGCGCTGGTGAAGAGGTCACCCCTCAAAAGCCCCATATCTAGGAGCCTTTTGCCAAGGCTCCAGGAGGGGTAGCGAGTACCGTTGCCCCCCCTCCTTTCTGCTGGTGCGCAGATCACATCCCCAGGAGGTCTGGGAGATGCGTCTGCCAGCGTGTCGCCATAAACCGAACGTCCACCTGGAGATCTTTTGGAAGGATTTTAAAGTTTTGATCGTGGTCACTTGTTTCTTGGTCGTCACCTTGGAAGAGGCTCTCCTCAGCTCCTCAGGCTGAGGGTCTCCTACAAGGACCCTGGGGAGGTCCGGGACGAACTCGGACCCTTCCCGTCAGCCGGGTCTTGGTGCGTCCCCATCGGAGCGAGACGGGACACGTCCGAGTGGCGAAACACTTAAACCGGAAGTCTCCTCCCTTCCAGGATCTTAAAGTGGGTTACAGTGTTCATTAAGGCTACAAAAGAGTAAAACAGCACACAGAACAACAGGCCAACTATTGATGCCCAACTCATAAATGAATCCTTTTATAAATATGATCCAGTGTGAAACTCATGGAAGACGTTAGTGGAAGAGATTTCCCAACCCCTAACGCTTGGGGATCCTGTCAACATTACTTGGAAACCAAACCAAAGTTGTCCATAAACTGACTAGACAGTGCAGTGCACTGGACACCTCTATTATCTAATCTAACCCCCAGCTGAAGTTCAAGATGGAGTGGATCTGTGAAATTTTATTAACAAAAACTGTGTTGGAAGTATTGTAATTAATAGCCAATTCCTGTAATTTTAGGACTGACACAGGAGTTGACACATGCTGAAATACCCTAAATGCTGCTTATCCACCAAGATGATTCCATTTGCCTGTTGAACTTCTTTGTTTATAAATCAGCAGATCATAGGTTGGATTCCACAGAAGAACATGCAAAGTAGATTTGTCCCACAAGACTTCTCTATATAGCTGTCCCTCCCATCCTTTTCTAATGAACAAAATGCACCACAGTGAGAGGGAGTGAAGCAAGTGAAATTGCCAGAAAGCTGACCTAAGTCACTTTGGATTCCCATTGGAGAGAAAAGCAGGGTATAAATATCTAAAATCAAATTAAAAAATTTCTCCATCATTGCAGTCCATCAATGCAGGTGGGAGGCAACCTTTTCCTGTTCACCCATCTGCAACACAATCCCTTGAACTATGGTTGATATTTGTTTATGGGGATGCCCTGGCCCTTAGAGAGAATTTTGGAGACAAACAGCAAACTGCTGGAGGAAGAGGATATAAAATCCCCTCCACCAACTCCTTCCATGAGGTTTTAAACTGGATCAAACATATATTTTGTCTTAATTTAAAGAGGGTTAGCTGGTGTTATGCTGACCCAGCCAGCACAATCAAATACATGCTATTTGGATAAAATTGACAACAGCATTGTTTATGTGTGTGTGTTTTTTAATTATCAAATAGTAACAAGCTCTTGTAACTAAGTCCATTTTATAAATTAGTTTCGTATCATTAATAGTATACCAAAAAATCCATATAGGTGGTTCAGTCTTGGCATTTAGACTTCAGGACATTCAAAAGATAGAACATCAGTTATAGAATTTGTTCACCCCCTCCCCATTTGGTATATTTCAAGCACATACATAGTATGTTAATAATATATAATAAGAGCATTGTGTGTTAAGATTGAGCATCACTCAAGAGGAGCCCATGTTGGGCCTCAGCTTAAGCATTTTGTTCAGTTACGTGTTGCCACATTTTAGGAAGGATGTGGAGAAGCCAAAGAGGATTCACAGGAGAGGAACAAGGTGATAAAGGCTTTAGAATGCAACACTTATGAAGCAAGATTAATCAGGCCAGCATTGATGTGTTTTAGCTTACAAAAACAGATTTGGCAGGAAGCCATGAGGTAGTAGTAAAGATTGCAAAAATAAATGCTTTTTTTTCTTTTTCAAACGGTTCTTTTCCCTGCTGCTAAAGGAAGGAGAGGAGCTTGCAAGGTTAAGCTGCTACAATATCAATTTAGGCTTTGTATATTAGAAAAAAAATATTTCTATTTATTTATTAATCACATTTATACCTCGTCCTCCCCGCAATGCAGGCTCACAGTCAGTACATAAAATACAGTTAAAACCACATAAAACTATATAAAACAATTCCATTATTAATACAGTTTCATAAAGTGCTGAAGATAGTTACTCAAGATGCCTTATTTCAATGTACTCTCTCAAAATCCTTCTGCTCAAGATCTTCCTGCGGCTCAGGCTGGATATTAAAACCAAGAGCCAGGGCTCTATAACGGTGGCAGCACCCTAGCTGAAAGCCTGGTGGAAGAGCTCCGTCTTGCAGGCCCTGCGGAACTGCAGAAGGTCCCACGGGGTCCTGATCTCCAGAGCTCGTTCCACCAGGATGGGGCTGCCACTGAGAAAGCCCTGGCCCTGGTAGTAGCAAGCCTGGCCTCTTTTGTTGCTTTCTGGGGTATATATTCTAAAGTGTAAAAAATTAGGTAATATATTACATTGCTGAAGTTGATCATCTTCTCTGGCTAATATACAAAGAAACCTGTATATCAGACATTCTTCAGCTGTAGACAGCTGGAGAAGATTAACATGGTAGTTGTCTTGTTTTATGGTTCTCAGTGGTCTTGCCAACATTGGTAGTCATTTGATTCAGTTATTTTTTAATTTATGTTCCAGCTTCCCCCTGTAAATGCTGTAAAGGTCTGGACCTTCTAAAGCACATCAGAAGTTCAGAGAGAATTCTAATGCATGAAATCAAATGCCACTAAATTACAGGGCATTAATCTGGCTGGATATGTTAATGAAGCATTTTATATTTCATGTGTACACTTCCAGTGAATACTCCTTTTTATTTTTCATATGTAGACTTAGTTTAAAAATAATTTCTGGATCATTTCCTTTGACCATAAATGCTTTTATACTACTGATCAAATGTTATCTTGTGTGTTTTGCCCACAGAGTATGGTGATTATCCAGAACTGTTTTCCTTTTCTAGAAGCCGCCTATGGGGTCAGTAGACAACATGATTTCCAGGACACAAGGTGGGAGAAAAAATAAAAATTATTAGTACACCATCACTGAATGTTATCAGTCAAGGCAAAATGAAGATTTTATTATGAACATTTGACTTTGCCTAAAAGCACAGGGAAAACACCAAGAAAATCTACCAAGCTCTTTTTGCTGTCTTCATCAAATTGCACCAAAGGGATGCCAAAGAAACCTTTAGTTTTGCATAAGGATGTTGTGTGATTGAAATTATTTGAAAGTTCAGATCATATATTGATGCTCTTAATTTGTCAGTTTTCAGGAAGGTAGCACCTTGCAATGTGTGTTTCAGTTTTATTAATAAAGTGTCAGAGACATTGTTTTAGCTTTGTGTTTTATCAAAAGAATATTTTTCTAGACTTAATAAGATGATAGTTTTAATTACATAGTGTGTTGTAGGCCAAGTGCCCGTTCTTGTTCCATGATAATACTTCTTTTATCAGTACAAATTCTTAATCGCATTTTCAAAAACCGGGGGGGGGGGGGCAATTACTTTTCAGGAGTATGTTCCACTTAAGTTATCTCTGCAGCATTTGCAGTTAGGACTGCTGCTCTGTAGGTTAGTTTGCTAGCAAAGCCACAATCCGTCACCTTGTATGTGTGCGGAAGAGTTTCCCAGCTGTGTGTCTGCTCTCTGTGACCAAGTGTACTGTGGGTGGGTTCCCTAGAAGTGCAAAATAATGCTGTTTCTTTCTGCTTCAAGACCTTTATTTTCACAGGGTTTCATTTTTACATTTCCTGTTGGCTCTCTAGAATGATTTTTACAGCTTTATTTTGGGCTCACTCTTCAGACTGAGGATACATTTAAACTTGTTACAAAGTTTGCAAGGCATTAGCTTTTTAAGAGACGATAATTGTCATTGTAACTGAATAATAAATTCACATACACACACTCTTTTTAAATCTCCTTTTCAGACTAGGAGACTCTCTGTTTCCATCTCCTAGAATGAAAGGTTTCTGCATTCTCGAACTATGGCAGTTTCCCTCGCATGTTCTGTTTTGCAGTTAGATCTAGAAGGAATGATAAGGATCACAATCTGCTCCAGACTAGCCCAGTCACATCAGATCTTGGAAGCTAAGCGAGCTCAGCCCTAGCTAGTATTTGGATGGGAGACCACCATTGTTCCCTCTAAGCTGAGTTCGTGTGAGCTAACTCACAGTTTTTTAGCCTCCAGCTCACACATTTTTGTCTTAGCTCAGGAAGGATGGCTCCAGAGCAAACTAATTTATGCAGTAGCCAAATTACTCACTCACAACTTTAATGCCAGTAGCTCACAAAGTAGAATTTTTGCTCCCAAGACTCCACAGCTTCGAGGGAGCATTGGAGACCACCAAGGAATACCAGAGTTGTAACATGGAGACAGGCAATGGCAAACTGCTTCTTAATGTTTGTTGCTTTGAAAACCCTATGGGGTCACCATAAATCAACTGTGACTTGACAGCAACAACAATCTGTTTCAAAGTCAGTCATTTTCACAGTGGCGTACCCGGGGCGGTGTGTTCGTGCTCCACCCTGGGTGCAGCTTGAGGAAGGCCCTTGAAGCCAGCATCATGCTGCATCCAGCTGAATGTCTTTCCTTTTATTTTTAAAATGCAGTTCTGGCTGCAGCCATTAGGGGCGCAGGGAAGTCTGAGCATAGCAAAAAGCACTCTAGGATCTGCTAGGCTTTCCTTTCTCCAAGACTGAACAGATCATACTTAACAGATCATACAACCAAGCCAACATGCTAATAGTATTTGCCAGCCTGCAGGTCATTTTCTCCAAAAGTCTAGCCAGTCTGGTGTAGTGGTTAAGTGCGCGGACTCTAATCTGGGAGAACCGGGTTTGATTCCTCCACTTGCACCTTGGGCAAGCCGTAGTTCTGATAAGAGTTGTCCTTGAAAAAGAGCAGTTTCTGTCAGAGCTCTCTCAGCCCCACCTACCTCACAGGGTGTCTGTTGTGGGGAGGGGAAGGGAAAGGAGTTTGTAAGCCGCTCGGAAACACCTTCGGGTAGTGAAGGGCGGTGTATAAATCCAATCTCCTCTTCTTTTTTTCTTTCCTCGCATCCACCTCAGCCAGATCTTGCAAAGCAGTAGTTAGGGTGTTGCAACGAGGTAAAACAACCTTTCCCTCTCTTAATTTCTCTCCCTCTTTTGCAACATTTCTCATTCATTTCTGTCTCCCTTTACCTAATTTTTCCATTCCACCCCCTCCCCTGTTTATTTCCACTTCTTGGTCTCAAGACCTTTTCATCCCTATTCTGCTTGGTGACAGAATGTATATAAGAGTAGTATAGGAGCAAACCTTTGTTAATATTATGAACAGAAGGCACTGGGTTTGCTGGGCACTGTACATTGCACTGGTTCTGCTGGGCTTCCAACTCACTCCCTTGCTCAGACTGCAATTCTGTGCTTGACATCAGCTGGCACTGCCACAGTTATCAAAAACAAATGAACACTGCGAATGCAATTAACAAGTCTTATATCAATGCCTTTAAATAAATATTTTGAAACACCAAACGAGTGTATATTTTTAATATCTATTCAGTTATCAAAGTTTTCTTATACCAACTCTAGAAGTATTTAATACAAAGTCAAAAGCTCCAAACCAGAGACATAATGTAACACATAAAGTTCCCAGACTCTCACAATGCAACAATCATGAGCTATAAATCAAGGTTATAAGGTAACACTACTAGTTCTGAAGTTCTCAATATGACAAATTTATATATCAGATCAACAATTGGAAGTTATGCAGCGACATATATCATAGGCATATAAATATGTTTCCATTCTCTTTTTCAGAGCCACATCTCCCTTCCATTGTGGAGATTAAAATTCAAGTCAGAGCCAGTGCTCTAGGAAATCTCTTTCAACCAGTAGCCTCCTGGCTATCAAGTGCTTTAGTGTAGCATATCAGTCCTCCTTGCAAAAATCCTGCCCCCTCTGTTTCTACTGTAGAGAATCTCTGGTTTGATTTTAGTCCTTTGGAAACAATGGAGAATGGGGGCATCTTCTTTGAGGGGAAGTGTGTTTCTTAACATCCAGTCTGGTGATGCTTAGAGTTCTCTAAGAAGAGGGAATGTTCCATTTAAGGGAGTTGTGTGCAGAACATATAATGAAAGATGGATTAGATTGAAAGGAAAGTGGAGTGAAAATTGGTGGATGGAACATTAACAATTTGAGATATGCAGATGACACCACATTACTGGCAGAAAATAGTGAAGAAACGACTCCTGGTGAAAGTTAAAGCAGAAAGTGCCAAAGCAGGATTACTGCTGAACATCAAAAAGACAAAAATAATGACTACTGGGCAATTATACAACATTAAAAGGTTGCCGATGCAGACACTGAAATTGTTAAGGCTATTCTATTCCTTGGCTCCATCAGCAACCAAAAGGGACAATGCAAGCAAGAAACACGGAGATTGAGACTGGGAAGGGCAGCCATGAAAAAGCTAGAAAAGATAATTAAGTGTAAAGATATGTCACTGGCAACCAGGTGTCCTGCTTTGGGTCCGCCCCTGGTCCGGAATACCCAGTGGCCGTGGTGAGGGTTTGCAGGAGGAAGCAGGTGCCTCAGAATTGGGTCGGCTGGTGTTGCCTCACACACAGTCCTTCCCTCGGATTAATCACCTCTTTTCCGTCTCCCTCTTTCTGCACCTTCCAGGTGTTCTCCGACTTTCTCCCCGGCACCTTATCGCTTCCTCTCATTTATACTTCCCCTCCCATCTTCCATGACTCCCCCTTTCTGTGACTCTGTCTCCTACACGCTATTTCTCCTATCCATCATCTCAAGTCCCAATCTTCCAGTGCTTCCCCTCCTGTGGTCCCACCCCCATCATATCCAGTGTTAGGTCGCGTGTGCCTACTTGTCTGCCAACCGAGACCTACTATCTCCGCCCCGTCGCCTGTACCGGGTAGAGGTAAGGCTGGGGCTTTCCAGGGGACGTGCCTCCTCGAGCGTGCTCTTCCCTCCCCCTCTCGCTGCTGAGCCGTGCGGTCCGATCCGGACCACTCTTCCCGCCCTCTCCCCGGGTTCTTTGGACTCTTCGTGCACCGCCGCTGACGCTGAGGGAGAGGTTGGTGTTCTTGGTGGGAGCTCCCGTGATCAGCCCCCTTTCCCTCCCTTCCATCCGGCGAAGCTATGACCTCGGGGTCTGTGAAGCCCGGGGTCTACATAGGGCTCGGCGACACCAGGATCAAGATAATTCATACCATAGTATTCCCCATTACTGTGCATGGATTTGAAAGTTGGACAATGAAGAAAGCTGACAAGAAGGAGCACCGTAGGCTGTAAAAACACACACAAATAAGTGAGTTCATTTTCAAGGCTTCTGTGCGGGCACACATGGGACTGCAGTAGGCAGGCCGACCACCGGGAGGAGCTAGCGAGCTTCTTTTTAGAATTTTCAACCCGAGAGGGCTAGGCTCCAACGAGGAGGCGGTTTCCCGCCCAAAACACCACCTGACCTGGGCGGAGCCAGCCCTCTCCCCTCAGTTCTCTTTCTGCCGCCACCGAAAGAGGACGTGTTCTTCGAGCGAGCGAACAACTAAGCTTGAGGGAAGACATTTTCCTCAGAAGAAAAATGGCTTCAAAGAAAGAAGAGAAAAAGGAGAAAGTGGCCCTCTTCAAAAATTGTAAGACTTGTGGGGCTAAGATGTCTAAGTCTGACGAGCACTCAGCCTGTGTGCTGTGTTTGGGAGAGACCCATAATATGGCAGCCTGTAAGGCCTGTAAGGCCCTCACCCCGAGGGCTCGTGAAGGGAGGTCTGCCAAATTGAAAGCGGCGCTGTGGGAGAGGGCCCTGTCCGTATCTACTGCTGGCCAGCAAGAGAAAGTGAAGACCCCTTCGGTGTGCTCAGCCCCGATACGGCCAAAAGCTGCTAAGGCGGTTGCCCAGTCTCGCGCTGGCTCAGTACCGCCGGCCAAAAAGGCCAAAAAGCATAAGAAGACGCAGGAGCGTTCTTCGCCGCCGATGCGCCTCGGTACCGAGGACGTCGGAACCGAGGGATCGACGCCGACTCGGCGCAGACGGTCACCGTCGCCTCGGCGCGGGGATGGTTCGGCGCCACGCTCGACGTCGAGAGGTCGCTCTCCTCGACGCCGAGACATCCGCTCGGCACCGAGCGAACAGGCAGAGCGTGCATCGGTACCGGTGCTCGGTAC